TGAGGGCGATCATCGAGAGCATGCTGACCTCCTCCTCCACGCTGCTGTCCATGAGCATGACCCCACACAAGGCCCCGCCCCACCTGACACCCGGCCAGATCGATCCCGAGGCCACCTGCCCTGCCTGCAGCCTGGACCTGAGCCACCAGGTCAGCACGCTGGTGCAGCGCTACGAGCAGCTGCAGGACATGGTCAACAGCCTGGCTGCCTCCCGGCCCTCCAAGAAGGCCAAGCTCCAGAGCCAGGTGGGTGTCTGCTCACCCTCCCCGGGCAGCTGGCCCGGCCCCACAGGGGAGAGCCATGACCCTAGAGGCCCATGACTGGCGCAGGTGACGGAGCTCCCCAGGGAGGCCTTGAGCAGACCCACAGCTCCCTGGTCCTTTCACAGGGTCACAGCAAGAAGAGCAGTAGAGCCAGATCCGGGGACAAGGGATGGAGGGGCAGCCAGGTGGCTGAGAGTGGAGCAGTGCCTGTGCAGGCCACAGGGATACAGGACATGGGCCAGAGGCTTCGACTCCCCTTCCCCATTTTCCTGACACCTTAAAGGGCAGGCTTACGTAAGGAGGCATGCACAGCCACAAACCCTCGAGTCCTCCCCCTTGGACTCAGGAGTTCAGAGAGGGTAAGAGACTTTAGCGCATACCTTAACTCCCAGGGCCACAGAACAGCACATCACCCCTGAGCCTCAGTCACTTCCTGATCCCTCCACCAGCAGTCCAGGGTCTGCGGAGGCTAGCCCAGGGGACAGGGGGCACTGATACTTGTGTTCCGCTGGGGTGGACACCCAGACAGGGAGGGAGCCTTTCCCTTATCAGTGTCAAAACGTGAGAGCAACCGGGGTCTAAAGTTAGCGTATCTGCCGGGCAGTGCGTGGAGGGCCAGCTTTTCCGGCAGCCACATGGGTAGCCTCTGAGAGCCCTCCTGGCCCCTCCCGCCGCAGGACGAGGAGCTGCTGGGCCACGTGCAGAGCGCCATCCTGCAGGTGCAGGGTGACTGTGAGAAGCTCAACATCACCACCAGCAACCTCATCGAGGACCACCGGCAGAAGCAGAAAGACATAGACGTAAGGGGCGGGGCGGGGGCGGGGCCGAGCCCAAGCGCCACCCACCTGCTCCTGCCACCTGCTCCTCACTCGGTTCCCTGCTCACCTGCAACCCCACCTCCAGGTGCTGTACCAGGGTCTGGAGAAGCTCGAAAAGGAAAAGGCCAACAGGGAACATCTGGAGTTGGAGATTGACGTGGTAAGCGCCAGGCCCTGGGAGCCACTGTGTCCCAGGGAGGTCTCGCTGGACATCCAGAGGTCAGGAGTGGGGGACATGTGGGGCCTCAGAAATCTGCCAGGTGCCAAGGGTTGATACCCCAGGGTGACAGGCCCCAGCCGTGGCTCTGTCCCAGGTCAAAGGCCTCTTCCTTTCTCTCCGAGCAGAAAGCTGACAAGAGTGCCCTGGCGGCCAAAGTGAGCCGTATCCAGTTTGATGCCACCACAGAGAAGCTGAACCACATGATGCAGGAGCTGGTGGCCAAGATGAGCGGACAGGAGCGGGACTGGCAGAAGATGCTGGACAAGCTCCTGGCGGAAATGGACAGCAAGGTGAGGGCAGGGGCTCGAGGGCGGCCTGGGGACTCCCCTGCTGCACGGCCCTGGCCCTGCGCCCAGACACAGGACCCCCACCTGCTTCTTCTTTCTTTCTTTTTCTTTTTTTTTTTAGAGTTGTTTTATTTCACTTTGTTTGTTTATTTTAATTTGACCAGAGAGGGACAGAGAGAGAGAGAGAGGAAAAGTGAGAAAGCAAGCCGCCAGGTCCGAGATTCTAACTATAGTCAGCCATGTGGGAGTCCAACGCCCTTAACCACCACGCCACCTGCTGGCCCCTCTTCTTATTTGTTTGTTTGTTTGTTTTCAGTTTTTGCTATAGAGAATGTGTACTCTCTGGGGAAGGAGAGAGAGAGAGAGACAAAGTGAAAAACCACCCCCCACAGGGGCCATTGCTCAAAAATTATTATTCTCAACATGTATATTTCATTTTATTATTTCATATGCATTTGTTTTACATACATACTTGTACATTTGCTCGAAGGCACGTGAGTTCACCAAAAAGAGACAGAGAGCGAGAGGGAAAGCGAGAAAGCCCATCCCTTCTCCCCTAGTCTCGCGTGCAGGTTTGGGGCACGCACGCACATGCTGGGGCATGATTTTCAAGTTGCTAGGTCAGGACTTGAACCGCACAGTCATGGCATCTAGCGCTTTAGCCTCTACACCACCAGCCGGCCCCCACCTGCTTTCTCAGAGCTCAGCCACCCCTCCCCTGCAGCTGGACCGCCTAGAGTTGGACCCGGTGAAGCAGATGCTGGAGGACCGCTGGAAGTCCCTGCGGCAGCAGCTCCAAGAGCGCTCTCCCCTGTACCAGGCGGACGAGGCAGCGGCCATGCGGAGGTGAGGCTGGCCTGCTCTGCAGGGCATGCAGGAAGAGGACCAGTGTCAGACCACTCCCACACACGCGACTCGTCCTGCCCACCATCCAGTCAGAGGGACTGAATTTTAGGGCTTAAAAAGCTCTTCGAGGGCCAGCCAGTGGCATAAGTTGTTAAGGCAGTTGGATCCCATAGGGCCGTCTATGGTTAGAGTCCCAGACCCAGCAGTTTGAAAATCATGCCGGGCACATGTGTGCATGTACCCAAAATCCCAGAAGGGGAATGGAGAAGGGACTGTGGGATGGTCATCCCCCCCAGGGAGTGACTTCTCACTTTCCCTCTCTGTCTCTCCAGCAAGTGCACATGCCCTGTGACAATACCTAAAAGAAACAAACAAAGCAAAACAAGGAGACGTGCTCGGCACTGTGTGTGTGTATGCGTGTGTGTATGTGTGTGTGTGTGTGTGTGTGTGTGTGTGTGTGTGTGTGTATGCACCCCAAATCCTGAGAGAAGAATAGAGAAGGCATTTCGGTGTGGCCATCCTCCCTGGGGGTGATTTCTCACTCCCTACCACCTCTCTGGCGAGTCTACATGCCCTGTAGCTAGCAAACAAAAAGCTCTACGAGCTCACCCCTTTTTTGTGTTACCGCAGAGAAAGGGAGTCGGGAGCCCAGCTCTCTGGGCTTGTACAGGGAGAGGTCCCTAGTCGCCTTAAATCTCAGGATTCTCATTCTTGGCCGCCAGGGGGCCCCTGGGGCTTTCACAGGGCGACCTCAAGGGCTGTTTGGAGCCCCCTGGCTTTGAGTTAGGACAGGCAGGTGCAGATAAGACCAGCAGCCAGAGTGGCTGGGAGCAGATGAGTTCCTGGTGAGCAGAGCCTGGACCTGACACCAAGCCGAGCATGGAGCATTGAGCCGACCTCGCCTGCGGGGGCCACGCCTCTGGGCTCTTCCTACAGACCCTCTGGTCAGGCACTGACCCTCTGTACGTCCCTTTCCTGACAGGCAGCTCCTGGCGCATTTCCACTGCCTCTCGTGCGACCGTCCCTTGGAGACACCTGTGACGGGACAGTGAGTGCCTGCACCTCGCCGTCCCCGGTTGGTGGCCACGAACAGGGGTGGGCACAGCAGGGCTGGGTCCCTGCCCCCACCTGCCTCCACCTCTCGTCCTTACCTTCTCTGGCTCCTGGGTCTGCTTTCCACCCGGTCCTTCAGAGGCTGGGCCCAGGCCGGGGGCAGCTGGGAAGATCCTTCAGGCAGGTGGAATATGGGAGTGGGTGATGGGTGGGTTTGGGCGATGGGGTTTCTCATACCCTTCCCCACCCCTTCCCCTGTCCCTGCCCAGACTCATCCCCGTGACACCTGTAGGCCCGGGCCTGCCTGGGCACCGGTCCATCCGGCCCTACACGGTCTTTGAACTGGAGCAGGTTCGGCAGCAGAGTCGCAAGTACGAGACAGCAGAGTCTGGGCCAGGGCTGTGGGAGGGCAGTTCTGGGCACAGCGCAGAGGGCCTCCTCCTCAGGGCTGGGAACGGGGGCTGCTGGACCGATTCTGAGCTAGCTCTCCAGCTCGTCATACCTGCCCTCTGATCCCCGTGGCCCTTATGGCCACCTCTGAGGGCTGCACCTCTCGAGCTGCCGCAGCACCCCGGGGCTGTAGGGAGGAGGGCGGGTAGCTGGGGTCAGGGCGCTTGCCTTCTCAGACTCTGAGGCCTCACCTCCTAAGAATGAAGCTCAGGGCAAAGTGCCCTTTGGGCCGTAGGGGCTCCACGTGTGTATGTGAGCTGTGTGGTGATAGGCAGAGGCCCAAGGCCACCGCAGAGAAGCTGTGCCTTTCTGTCCAGCTCATCCGCACATTCCCTTGTGAGAAAAAGCTTCTCTGGAGGGCCGGGCCCCTCAGGGGCTGTGGAAGGAGCTCCTCCCTGCCCTGAGGCTGAGCTGCCCAGTGGCCCCAGCCTCAGCCAAGAGCCCGCAAACCTCTGACTTTTCCTGTGGTGCTGGCTCAGCCCACAGAGGGTCCTGATGAAAAGGGGCCATAGAAAGTGGCTTACATGGGACCACTAGATGGCGCAAAGGTTCTATCACTGGACTCCCACGTAGCCGACTGCAGTTCAAGTCCCAGATCAGCAACTTAAAACTCACTCCAGGTGCATGGGTGCCCCAAATCCCAAGTGGAGGAGAAGGGATTGTGGCATGGCCATCCCCTCTAGGGGGTGATCTCTCACTCTCGGTCTCTCTGGCAAGTGAGTACACTCACCCTACAACAAAAAAAAAGAAAGAAAGAAAGCGCCTTACACAGGTGAAGGCCTTGTCTGCTCGGGTGAGCCTCCCCCTAACTACCCAGCGAGGCCTGAGGCTTCCTGTACACACCGGGCAAGGGCGGGGGGACTGAGCCTCCCTCTGTCTGCCTGGCCTGCAGCCTCAAGCTGGGCAGTGCCTTCCCCCGGGGCGACCTGGTGCAGATGGAGCGCAGCGTAGGGCACCTGCGCAGCATGCACTCCAAGATGCTCATGGACATCGAGAAGGTGCAGATCCACTTCGGGGGCTCCGTCAGGGCCAGCAGCCAGATGATCCGCGAGCTTCTGCACGCCCATTGCCTCAGCTCCCCCTGCTACAAGCGGTAGGGCCCATGCAAAGAGAACCCCGGGAGAAGGGGTGTGTGTGTGTGAGTCCATGAGCCTGTGGAGGGGGCGTGTCTTCAGGATGCCCTAGCCATGAGGGTGCCCTTTCCCTCGCCTGCCTGTCCTGACTCCCAGAAACCCCTGAAGAGAGCTGCCACGTCTCCTGGCTGGTCCCCCACAGGTGGCCCAGGCCACGTCCCTGGGGGCTGTCCACGACCCCAGGTGCCATCATTACAGGCTGCCAGACGTAGCGGATTACACCTACTCCACCATGCCGCGGCGCTGTGGGGGCAGCCACACCCTCACCTACCCCTCCCGCCGCAACCGCCTGCAGCACCTGCCGCAGGGCCTGTACGCCCCCGAGGACGTCCAGCTCGCCATGAAGGTCAGGGCCCTGCTTGTAGCCACAGGTGGGAGGCCCCGGAGTGGCCCCAGACTCCCTGGTCACTCGGGAAAAGCCACCAGAAGTGATCTGGCCCAGCCCCGTGCCTTGAGGCGGTTTCTTAGTCAGACTCAGTTTAAGCCTCAGGTTAACTTTGGTTGGGGAGAACATCTCTTAGCACCTGTCCACCAGCCCTGCCACGGGCTCCCGAACACTGCCTTTCAGCCTCCCTTCACCTTGTCGCTCTGCCCTGGTGCTGCCTAAGGCCTCCCGGGAGGGTTCTGAGCCCCCAGGAGGGAGACTGTAACGGGCACATGTGCCTCCACAGCATGACGAGGTGGATATCCTGGGCCTGGACGGACATATTTACAAGGGACGGATGGACACGAGGCTGCCAGGCATCCTGACCAAAGACTGTGAGTGTGCAGGCGGCCCAGAGGCCCCTCGGGTTCTGTGCGTGGGCCCCACAGGGATGGCCATCTCCTGGCAGGCCAGCCTCTTCTCTGGGCCACTGGACACGGAGTGCCTGCCTTTGGGACTTCCCCACCCCCAGATGTCAGGTGGCCTCTGTCCTGGGCATCATCACAGCCTGGTCCCACTTCTCTCTGAAACTCAGCAGGGTCCCTCACATGGCCCCACTTAGTGACTCCTAGCTCCCCCAGGTACCCACATCCGTGAGCCGGAGCTGGCATGCGCCTTTCCAGTTGCCCGCTCTCCTGAGCCGGAAGCCGTGGTGGGCCCTCACCACTCACCCAGCTCCGGCAAGGCTTATGTGCCCAGACCAGAGAGGACAGAGCACCAAGGGGCGGCGGGGGTGTGGCGCCGAGGTGCAGTGGGAATGAACGAAGTGCTCACGAGGGCGTAGCTGCAGCTCAGAAAGAGCCTGGCCTGGCTGAGGATGACCTGACTCGCCACCCTGAGCCCCCTCCCTACCCCAGTGGGACCCCACACAGCTCTGGGCCTCCCAGAACCGACCCTGCCCTCTGCTGCCCCATCAGCCTCAGGGATCGCCAAGAACAAGCCCAAGCAGCCCCGGCCCCACGTGCACAGGCCGCAGCCCCTTGGCAACAGCAGCCAGTTGCCCTCACGGCCTCAGAGCGCACAGATGCTGGCGGCCAACCACTCAGGTAGTGTCCCCTGGGGTGGGCTGTCTTTCCGGGTGGCCTCGGCCCTGTCCCCAGCCTCCTCTCCTGCCCATGCCACGTACCCATTTACTTCCCTGGAGGGACGACCTGGGAGCTGAAGGACGGGATGGGAGGGGGAGGAGAGCGCACCAGGTCCGCAGGCAGGTGACCTATCGCATCAGGGACCAACTCCGGCTCCTGGCTTGGGCCCTCCCCCGTTCCCTCGGATCCTGTGCGACAGCTGGTGGCCATGACTACAGCAGGCCCCAGGAGCCCTCAGCCCGACCCTGTCCTTCCTCAGGTGTGGAAGGTTCCCAAGTCCCTGATCTTTGAGGTGAGGGTCAGGTAGCTGAGGCCCCCACGGTTCAGCCACACAAAGGCTGGGCACCTGCCAAGGCCACGGGCCAGAGACACCAGCCTGGAGCTGGAGGCTTGCTCACACCCAAGGGTCTCTGCGCAAGTGTCCCTCTTGAGACCTCTGTTTCCCGATCTGTCCTCAAGGGGTGCGGGACTACTGTTTCTCGGAATTAGGGCCCCATGGAAACCTCATGAGGGTGCTGACCTCTGTCCTGTAAAACAGCTATGTACCCACACTTTGCAAATGCGCGTAGGAGGCTTGAGGGCCCCTGGAGCCCACACCCTGGCCCACAGGTTCGGAGCTGGGCCCTGGGTGTTCTAGGCCTTCCCCTCCACACCGGCACCAGTGCTTGGAGTGGTTACGGCACTGGCTTTCACTGAGGGCTCCCCACCACCGGGCCTGTTCAGGAGCTGTATGTGTATGAACCACGTTCAACCTAACACCAGTACTGGGAGGCCAGACACCATCGTCAGCCCTGCTCACAGCTGAGAAAACAAGGCACAGAGAGGTTGAGGTACCTGCCCAAGGTCACACAGCTAAGTGACAGAGCTGAAATTCAAGGCTGAGCCAGCTGGCCCCAGAGCCAGAACTGGTAACGGAGAAAGGGTGAGATGGAAGGTTTCAGAGGGCTGTAATCCTGGCTCCCCACATTCTCTTTTCTTGGGGGTCCTTAGTGTCCTTCTCCCAGGCACCCCACTCCAAAGGCACTTAAAACATCATGGAAGGAGAGTGGACAGCTGCTTCAGAGAAAATTCCTTCCTTCCCCTGCATGCATGTTGCCACTAGTCCCGGTGCTCACAGAGGAACTGTTATGGGGGACCCCAGCCCTGCAGGATGGCTTGTTTACTCATCTTCTTTCAGAGACTAAAGGGACCTTAGCCGTTGGCCTAGGAGCTCACATGAGAGCATGCACTGCACGCCCGGCCTTCCGCTCCCTCCCCGGCCTAGCCAGGCCCCTGCTCAGCCTGGCTAGGAGGCTGCTCCGACCTCCCTGGCCTTTGGGTGAGCTATGAGTGAGGCAGGACAGCTGAAGCCTCTCTTGTCTTGCAGTTTCTTCAAGTCAACGGAAAGATAGAGACAGACCTGTGTCCTCCGAGGGACGTCTCTCCCAGACCAGCGCAGCCCACCCACCCAGCCCTACAGAGATGGCGAACGTGCAGGGCAACCCCGCAGGGCTAGGGATGCACATGGACCTGCCTCCTGGGGAGGGGCTCGAGGAGCCCACCCGTGGGCCACGGTCCACCACGGCTCCTTGAGCCAAGCTAGAAATAAATGCTTAGGAAGGAGTTTGGGTCAGGCGAGGCCTCTCCGACAGTCCTGGCTCAGGAAGATGGAGTGAGAAGGAGGCTCTCCGAGCGTCTCCAGCCACCCTGGGTCTGCTGAGCCCAAGGGCCTGCTCTTGGAGAGCTGCCTGGTTTGCAGCCTGAGAATCAGACCAACAGCATCCTGAAGGGGCCGTGCTGGGGCCTGAGCATCATGCCCGGGGGATGGGGGAGACTGGCACAGGCCCCAGGCTGCAGGCCTGGACCAACCTTGGCTAGACCCAAGGTGCTACTGCCTTCCTCCCTTGGCTTGTCTGGGGGGCTGGCCTAAAGGGTGACCCTCACTGAGGAGGCTGGGAGCCCATGATGTCAAGGGGAGGGTGTGGTTGCCTGCCGCAGGCTCAGGGCAGGTCCCAGTCCTGGCACGAGGGCTCAGGAAGCAGCGCCTCTGACCAGACGCCAGCCCTCAGCCTCCTGGGAAGGCTTCTGCTTGCAGTCCTTGGCTACTGACCCTTGAGCGGGCTGCTGGGAGAGCCGGCCCGAAGGCCATCCATCCCTTGGCAGACGGGCTCAGGTGAACACCATTTTCCCACCCCTTCCACCCAAGAAAGTGAGTTGGCAGGGTGTGGGGAGGTGTGACTAGCCTTCCTCACCCCACCCGGTTCCAGCCCAGCTCCATTTGCACAACTCCACTCAGACCCCCAAGCCTGTGGGACCAGGCCCCACTGCCCAACCCTGGACCTTTGTGCCGTCTCACGAGGGCGGGAGAGGCTGGTGGGCTCAGCTCAGGCTGAAGCAGGATCTGCGAGGTGAGCCCCACCACTGTGGAGTCCAGAGCCCCCAGGACGGAGGCATCCCAGACTCCAGGGGTCCCCCAGTAGCTGGGGGGAGGGGGCGTGCACCTAACCTGCAGCCTACAAAGCCCTGAAGTCATTAAACAGTATCTACTCTCGCTGGTCCCCCCCAGGGAAGGAAGTACCCAGAGTTAAGGATGGGGCTCCCCCCACCCCCGTTCCTATCTCCCCCTGACATGGGAAAGGGACATCTGGGGCAAGAGGCCTGTTTTCGGGGGTTGAGGGGGTGGTAGACTCACACAGGAAAGAGCAGAAGGAAGTGGCCAGAGACAAGCCGGTTTCTCGACCACCCTAGGTGGGCACGGTGGGGGGGGCATGGGCTCCCCTTCCACCCCTGGTCTGCTGAGACCCAGTGACTCTACGTGCTGATACAAAGCCCTGGTGGCTGGGTGGGAAGGGCGGCCCAGGGACACCCCCAACCCCGTGCCCTTTGCTCTACAAGCGGGAGGCGAGGCGGGGCCAGCTCAGGCTCTTCTTTCTCTCACTCGGCCCCTCCCTGGCCCTGAAATGTCAGATGGGTCGGCTCAGTGTTCCTGGTCTGGGAGCCAAAGTCACCAGCTCGGCAGGGTGGGGCAGGAGGGACAGACCAGCCCTCCTCACCCAGGCAACCACCCCCATCCTCTCACCACATTGGGTCTGGGTCCCAGGATGGGGGGGTCATAGCAGGTGGCACCCGTGCCTGGGAGGGGCTCCCCCTTCTAGCCTGGGAAAGCACAGGTGGGCAGGAGTCTCAGGGGTTTCCGACCAGGAAATAAAACTGAAAGAGCACACCGGGCTGCACAGCACTGTGTCACATGCACTCACGGAGGACAAGGGCAGCTGGCTCTGAGTTCTGCTCCAACGGAGGAGGGGCTGCCCCGTGGGAGACCTGAAGCCGGGAGGTTACCGCGCAGGGCTGCTTCCTGGCTTTGCTTCACCCCAGCCCGAACTTCTGGACCCCCAGGTCCTGGTTTGCACTGTGTCTGGCTGAGGCCATGGGAGTGGGAGCCAAGAGCCAGGAGGGTCGTCTAGGATGGCGCTGCCTATTACAGGGCTGTGAGGTATGTAAGACAGAGCTCAGGGAGTCCCATGTGGCCAGCCGCCCCTTCCCCAGGCAGCCAGGCCTGCGGGACCCGTGAGTGCTGGACCGAGGCCAAACAGCCCCCGGGAGAGCCGCCCATCTGTCTTGTTGGCAGCTCTGGGGGCCTTTAGGTCATGGCCACACAAGCGGCAGAGGGACACCCCACCCTTTCAGAAGCCAAGGGTGGGAAAAGCAGAAGGGTCCATGAAGACGCCTGAGCACCGGGCAGACAGGGGCTGTCATCAGGCCACCAGGCAGCTCTCGCCACCGCACGTCAAATGTTTCCAAGGTGAGCGCTGACGACTCTCTGTCAAGGGCTGAAGGAACAGGGGCCAAGAAGAAAAGAGCATTGGAACAACTGAGGCAGGACCTGTCCCTGTCCCTCTGCTCCCTGCACCATTCAATCCCACCCAGGCCAAATGGCAGTGGACCGCCTCCCCCACTGGGCACGGCCCACGGCAGCCCCCTTCCCCAGGAGCCAGCCGGTCCTACCCAGGTAAATAAAGGCACCACAAACCAGGGAAATTAGAAAAGTCTCTTTTTACATTTTACATTAAAATTCCACCCTGGTGGGGTGAGATTCTGACTTGGGAACTGAGTCCAAAAGCCAGTCCCACTGCTCTCTCCTCCAATCCCTGCACGCAGAGGGCAGGGTTCCCAGGGCACTGCGAGGGATGGGACAACCAAGCCTTCCGCCAGCCCTGTATGCCCAGCTGGAGACAGAGGTGACAACAGCCACAGGGCTGCCACAGGGCCACGACCAAGGATCAGGGTAGGGAAGAGATGGGACAACCCCACAATGCCGAGGGGCCTCTACACCTCTGGTCTGGGCCCTCTGGGTGCCTCCTGCAGTCACTACCGCGCTGTCCCTGGGGCTGTGGTGGCCATGGTCCTCTTCCTGGCTCCACAAGGTGTCACTAGCGGACACTCTGGGACTGGGAGATCATTCCATCTGGCTTAGGAGCACACCCCGCCACGAGGGATACTCAAGCAGCCCCCCACTCCCAGCACCCAGGCGGGCCAGCTCCATCCTCACATACGTTAATTACATTATATATTCATATATATTATAATTATATATTAAAAAGAGAAAAACACTTGCCTGTAGAGAAACTCCTGAAGGACCCAAGTGGCCCAGAAGTTTACTGCCCTCCCCACCCACAAAAATTCTTTTATAAAATCTTCCAGTGCGATCTTCAGGAAACCCCCCCAACTCCCCCCTCCCGGCCCTCCTGTGTCCCCGACCCTGGACTGCCCCCCAGCTCCAGCCAGCGCCATCCAGTCTCATCTCTGGCCATCCATCGCCGCCATGGCTTTCTGCTGGGCGCCTCCCTGCTGTGTTCCTGGGGGCCACGTGGGCTGTGGGCAGTGGAGGTGGTGGAAGGCAGTGGGGGAGGAGGGTGGGATCCAGGGCGCCTGGTGGCTGGGGGGAGACGAGGCCCAGAAGGGGCTGAAGTTTGCAGGGGGGGAGCAGGCCACGGCTGACATGGGGCTGTTGCTGCTCTGCAGGCCCTCGGAGGCACGGAGCTTGGAGAACATGGCCAGCGCGTCGGGGAAGTTGGGCGGCGTGGCAGGCGTGTTGCTGGGGGTACACATCTGCTGGGAGAGAACACACGGTTGGGGGCTGCCCACCAGGCCCAGGCCTGCTGCTGGGCCCCACCTGGGCTGGCCCTGCCTTCCTCCCCTTCCTCAGCCCATAGGCAGCTTGGACTGGACAAAAGCACCCCGCTTTCTGTGCCGAGAGACCCAACAACCCATCCAAGCTAAGCATCTCGGGGTGCCTGTAAGCAACACCCCGCAAAGGCTCCGAAGTAAACAGTTCATTCCAACCAGAAGCTGAGGTGTCAGATTAAAGTGAAAGGACAAGGAGCAGCCCAGGACACCACTGCCCAGTGCCTCCCCTGGGCAAGGGACCCAGCTGGCTCACAATCCACCCTCGGATGTTCCTGGGTTGTCAGCCAAGGGACAGCGGCCAGGTGGAGGGTCTCCCCTGTGCCAACCCCGGGAAAGCTACATGGCCGCGGTGCTGGGCTTCACCGCACTTTAACAGCCAGTAGGCCACGGAGACCGCACCTCCGCCCTCCTACTAGTCCTCTGAAGATGCTTGGGGGCTTGAGTGACTGTTACAGAGGAGGAAACAGGCCCTGCGCTCCAGTCACTTGACCGAAAATGCACCAATAGCAAAGTTTGAAGAAATCCACAGGCTCTCTGGTCTGCAGTCCCAAGTCTTAACCCCCACACAGGCCACACTCAAGTGCACTGAAGTCAGCCCAGCGCAGTGTCAGGGTCCCTGAGCACAGCACCCAAGGATTTCACTTTCCACATCTGCGGGCTCTCGCCTAGAACCGCTATCTTGCCTCTGGCCAGAGGCTGGCTGTCCTCAGTCTGTCAGCCCCTGTTGGCCCTCCTCTTCGGGATGGTTACAAACAGTCCTACACCTGCTGTCTTCTGCCACTCCCGAGGGCTAGACGTAGGGGTGCCGTCCTGAGCATGTCGCTGGAAGCATAGTGTGAAGAGGGGGCACAGCGAACAAGATGTACACCCAGCCGCTCCTGACCAGAAGTGCTTCTCTTCCTCCCAGGAAACCATAGGGAACCTTTGAATGTCTCCTATTTTAGCAACGCCAGCCCCTCCCCTGGGCACAGGGTGGGATATCAAGACTCAGGACTCTTCACCTTCAAGAAAGGGAGCTTTCAGTCCTGCAGTCAGACCCACGCCAGAAAATAGCAGGGGGCCCCCAGGGAGGCGAACCCAAACCCTGGTCACTTTGACAGGGCCCATACAGCACTTAGGAAGCCCTGACCATTGTCTTCCTGGGGCCTCAAGGAGGCCAAAGGACCCCGTGCAGAGGCCTGCCCCACCCGGACATGCTCCTCTCCCTTCCCGCTGCCCGGTTCCTTTCCCCCAGGCCAGCTTCTCCACAGCAGGAAACAATGAATAGGGGGGTGGGGCGGAGGCCATTGCATCACAGCATCGTGACCGACTTCCCCAATTCACCAAGGCACCACGGTTCCTCAACACCCGCCTGGAGAACAGCCTGCATGGCCACAGGGCCCGTGCCCACCTGCCTGCGTGGACTTGAGCAAGTTCCTGAACCTCTTTGGAGCACCTCTTTCTACAAAACCAGAGTCTGGCCCGGATGTCCCCAAACCCCTGCTCTAGCTCCTAGAGTCCACCCCGCCTAGGTCCTCCCACTTCCAGGCGTTGTGACCATCTCTTCTTGGCCCCTCCAAACCCAATCAGGAACTTTCCCTATCATATGGGCAGCTTCCTCCAACGGGGGATCTACGGGTAATCATTTACCAGTTACCCGTGCCTTGGGCCTTCCTGTACTGCCACTTGGCTGTTACTGGTCTCCGGTGTTTTTATTTAACTTTTCCTTTGATTTATTTTATGTAAAGAAGTTGCCAGCTCCGAGGCAGGGAAGGTGCTCACCATGGGTGCTGAAGTCTGACCTTGCACATGCGTGGCACACAGACCACGTCTGGTATGAAGCCTGTTGTCCTTGGGGAAGACTTTCAACAGGGAGGACAATCCCCCTGGGGTTTGTGGAGAAGGGGCAACAGGAACTAAATGGTATGCCAGGCCCAGCTCATGGGGCAGGCGAGCCTCCCTCTTCCTGGCCCCTCAGAATGGCTGTGCTGGAAGCCTGGGATTTGGGGAATGGCCACCGTTGGCAAAAGCAAACCTCAATGCTCTCCTGAGGGGAGCTAGAAGTGGGGAGCTCCCGGACTCCAGTGCAAAGTAGGGCTCGGAGATTTTCCGGGCAGGTGCAGGAGAAGGTGTCTCTGGGAGAGGGTGTCCTAGACTCAGACCTGCCTGGGTTTGCAGTACAGCCTGCGGCCAATACCAATCTCCCGGCATACTCCAGGCACCATTTCTGGATGACTTGTCTATAGAATGAGCCACTCCAAGAGAAAAGCCAGTTACAAAGGTCACGAAGACCCTTCTCCTTGCCTCTTGGGAGCCAGGGACAAGACGCAGTAAAGGAACCATTTGCAGCCTTGGCCCTGGAGGGGGCCAAAGCAAGGACACTGGAGTGTTAAAAATGCCAAAAATGTACCTTTAAAGGCGACAACAGACCCTCCGGGGAAATAATGTTTTATGATACCTATCACGGAGCCTGGTCCCTCCTCCCCCAGCAGAGCTAATAGGTAACTAGGGGGGTGGAGAAGGGATGTCCTGGGTCTCAAGAGAGCAGGGTACCCCGTGGCCAGGAGGGCAAAGGCTCAGGCCCGGCGTCAGCTTGAAAAAGAGAAAGCAGATCCAGACCCAAGCTGCTTGTGTTTCCTGGACTGTATATCTTAACACGCTGAGATTAAGTGCACATTCCTGGCCTTATCTTGGGCCCAAATCTGTGTATCCTCCCTGCTTAGGGTATGTCCTTTTTTGAGCCTCCCACCCCATGTTTTGATAAGGGTGGACATGCCTTTGTGGGGGAGCCTGGCTTCCTGAGCCAGGGTGGGTTTCTATCCCTTTCCTGCTGCCTGTGGCATTGGCTGTGTGCAGGGGGCAGGGTGCGGTGGCCACTCAACAGCAAGAGGGGTTCCTCATGGACAATACAAAGACCTCGACTCCGGGCCTCCTCTCTGGGGCCTGTGCAGGGGCTCCCCAGTCCCCCAGGTGTCTGGTTGCCCTCTGGGCTCCGTCCCCATCCACTGTCACCCACCCCCTTCCCCCCTCGCTCATCCCCTGGCCGTCTCCTCATCCCTTCTGGCCTTCCTCACAGGGACCAGCGCCAGGGACCAGCCATGGGCTAAGCCAGGGCACCCAGGAGGAGCGCAGTAGAGTGGGGCGAGCCCGCGCCGGCCGGGAGCCGCTCTTTCCTGGAAGACATTTTGGCTCTTTGTTTACACTCGCGGCGCGGCGCTCCCCGGCAACATGGCTGTCACCGCCGGCTGACAGCGCCCGGCCCGGACCCTAGGCCACCACTGGGCCCGAGCCTCCGGCCGCCCTCCGAGCGCCGCCAGGGCAGGGCCGGGCCCGCGCGGCTCTCGCCCGAACTTACCATCTGGGGGTGGTGGTGGCTGTTGGGAATGTTGGTTTCTTGGAAAAACGTGCTCAGGGCGGTCTGAGGACAAACAAGGCGGGTGGGGTGAGCGCGGCCTGGCCTGGCGCAGGAAGCCCCCCCGCCGCGCTCTCCC